GCGTAAACGCCATGCAACGCGCGCCCCGGTGTCATACATGGACCCCTTCATTAAGACGATCTTTCGACAGGTCTGCCAACAGGGAACGCCGTCCAAGCACGTGGGTTGACGAGACTTGACTTTTACGACTCCAGCGAACAGACTGAGCACCCCGTCCGTAAGGAGACAACTGGCACGCGACAGCTTGCAGAACTTGTTCAATCGTCGGGGAGGGCAATATCGTACATTCCTAGACGGGCGTCGTTGTCGCGCCCGAAAGCTTGGCCTCCTGCTTGGCGGCATCATCGCGCAACCTCGATGGTAGAAAGGTTGTCAATGCCAAGTGCCAAGTAGCGGCAGACCACGGGAGCTTCCAGCATGGAATGAGAGCCGCACCAGGGTATTTTCATCAACGACATGTCGATTTCGCAACGAGCAGTCGCCCTCTCAAATCTCATGAAAGTTGGCCTATTCTGGTCAAGCAAAAAAGTGAAAAATCCGGCGCTGAGATCCAAAGCCATTGATATCGAACGTCGTTGCTGATGTAGACCGTAGCGCAACGTGCTTCCGAATTGCAATGTGATTGGTCGGCTGCAGCACAGAAACATCGAGCCCACCTCCCTCGCCACCTCCCTCCCCACCTCCCTCATCACCACCCCGGGGCTGAATCCACGGAAGTGTCGGCCGGGCCTAGGCTAATGCTGGAAGTTAGAAAGGAAGGGAAGTACCTCCGGCGGAGAGGGACATGTCAGTCAGGCAAATCGTGGTATCCCCTTGTTTTGTTGGACTGATTGGCCTTCGTATCGGGCGTTCGGTATGTGGAATAGGCTAGAGTATGGACGGTTCCAACGTGGAATGGCGAGCCAACGTGCTACGAAACCCTGCCATGATATGCCAGCAGAGAATTACTTCTCGGCGATAATGAAACATTCGGCGTCATCAACCCTCGGATATCGACAGCGATGAGGTGCGGGCCATTTGCCTTCAATATTCCACTTTCGCGCCTCAGACTTGTCCACCTTGGATGAACTGCTCTTGCGTTGCCAAGATGCCACTGGGACAATCCACCCGGCGGCCAAGCATGATCGACTGTAGCCAAGTCACCCATTTGAAGCGCCTAGAAAGCTTGACTGCAATCCGGTTTGGGCTTCAGATCGCTGGGCCTGCAGCCTGCCTCGATGTGTTGTGCCAGGTTGGCCTGGACAAGGGAAATAAGGTCGGAAATTGTTAGAGCGGTACCGCGCGTGCCACCGTCGTTGGTCGCTCCCCGACTCGACTAGCATCTCCCCTCCAAGGGACCATGTTCTCAAAGCGAGCGTGCCCATTGGTTCCCGAACAACATTGACATGAGCGGGCCGTTTTAACTCAGTTCTACTGTGAGTCTCGACTTCCCAGCACGAATTGGACAGTTTGCCTAGATCTCTCCCTCTGCCAGTACGTCCATTACTACTCGACCTCGCGAAAAGTCCGATGAAGCCGTATGTCTTGTTTGATCTTTCTGTAGCCGGTGTAAGAGCCTAAAAGTGAAATGGGCGGGCAGCCAGTCGGGAGTCGCGGTCTGGAAGTTCAGCCAAAGTAGAGACGAGAAACAAAGTCTGGGAAAAAGTGGAAAAAAACACGCGCCATTCCCAATCGGTCGCCGAGCACGGCTCCACACAACCATATCTCCAGACCTGCGCAGCACACATCCCTGTTGCCTTCCACGCCTCTCTTCTATCGGCTGGTGTCTGTTCTCGTCGTCGTCGGCGGTCTCCATATTGCTGGTCTCCGGGGGTGACCATTCCCATTGCAAACCTTGTCTTCTCTGCGGTAGAATCCACAGCAGACGTCTCGCTCTTCGACGTGACCCAAAGAATCGTAGTCTAGGCGATACTCTCGCACTTCTTTGACGCTTGTCATTCGCCCTACGAGGTACGACAGCCCTCTCTGGAATCCCTCCATCTCGTCCCGTTCACCACGCTAGCATGTAGTCTCCGAGGTGGAGGCTGATTCTGAACCATGTCTTCGTCGTCGTCTTCTTCTCGGTGTCCCTAGTCGTCGCATCTTCCGGCTCCACTAGAGAGTGTTCGTTGCCAATATCCATGCATGTAACTCTGCGGAAGGCTGTCAGCTCAGATGGCACGAAGTCCCCTTGCCCACATGTGTCCTGCTTATAAGCCAAACATACTCCCCGAGACCCAACGCATTGAGCTTGTCTGCTCCTCACGCTCCTCCCTCATCCTTCCTAGCAGGTCATCAAAGCCACCCAACCTGCTTCTCCTTCGGGACTGACTTTGCCATTCGTTTAGTCAAACCGGACTTTGAGCAGATCGACACAATGGCCAGTGTCATCGAACCTTCGCACGCCGCGGGCGTGGACGCCGCCACTCCTCGCGAGCTTACCGGTGCCGACGTCAAGCAGAATAAGACCTCGGGAGGAAACGCCGCTTTCCATAACTTCAACAACGACTTCGCTCACGTCGCCGACGCCAACGAGCGCCGTCGCCTCGCTTTGGCCGAGATCGATAAGGCGCCTTTCGGTTGGTACCACGTTCGTGCCATCGTCGTCGCTGGTATTGGTTTCTTTACCGATTCGGTACGTTGTCCTGGAAATAGACGAATTGGCCAAATCTGACTAGGAAACCAGTACGATATCTTCACCATCGGTCTCGTTACTTCCATGCTGGGCATAGTGTACTTCGGTGGCACTCTCCCTGCCGAGCACGACACTGCTATCAAGGTCGCTACCTCCGCCGGCACCGTTGTTGGTCAGGTCGGATTCGGTGTCCTGGCTGATATCGTCGGTCGTAAGAAGATGGTAGGCGCTCGCAGCTTCATTGGCGTTATGACGGAGAAGAGGTAGCTAACTCAGTCGCAGTACGGTGTCGAGCTGATGGTCATCATCATTGCTACCCTTGCTCAGGCTCTTTCGTCTTCTTCTCCTTCTGTTTCTATCGTCGGAGTCATTGTTTTCTGGCGTATCATCATGGTAAGCACCGGTCTGATGAGTCGAGGCAGAATGCCACTAACAACGGCCACAGGGTATCGGTATCGGTGGTGACTACCCCCTCAGCGCTATCATTACCTCTGAGTTTGCCACGACCAAGTGGAGAGGATTCATGATGAACGCAGTGTAGGTTACCGGCTCCACCCCAATGAGTGATTCTCTTCTAACGTACGCGATAGCTTTGCCAACCAGGGTTTCGGCCAACTTGCGGGTGGCATCATGCTTCTGATCGTCACCGCTGGCTTCAAGGGCTCCCTTGAGACTGCCACCAAGGCTGCCACTTGCGCTACCACCGAACCTTGCATGATGGCCGTCGATAAGATGTGGCGCACGATGATCGGCTTCGGTGCCGTTCCGGGCTGCATCGCCTTGTACTTCCGTCTTACCATCCCCGAGACTCCCAGATACACCTTCGATGTCGACAATGATGTTTCCAAGGCCGAGGGCGACGTCGACTACTACAAGCAGGGCAAGTGGGGTGAGTCTCAGGTTGACGAAGCTGCCCGCGTCATTGCTCGACAGGAGGCCAAGCAGCAGCTTGAGATTCCCAAGGCTTCATGGAGAGACTTCTTAAGCCACTACAGCACCTGGAAGAACGCCAAGGTTCTCCTCGGTACCGCTGGATCATGGTTCTTCCTTGATGTTGCCTTCTACGGCCTCGGTCTGAACAACGCCATCATCCTCAACGCCATCGGGTGGTCTGGTGGTGCCGATATGTACCACATCTTCTATAAGACGGCTGTCGGCAACCTGATTCTTGTCTGTGCCGGTGCTGTTCCTGGATACTGGGTCTCTGCCGCTCTCGTCGACACCATTGGCCGCAAGCCCATCCAGCTCTTCGGATTCTCCGTGCTCACGCTTCTCTTCTGCGTTATCGGGTTCGACTACTGGAACCTTTCCGGCACTGCTCTCATGGTGCTGTACACCTTGTCGCAGTTCTTCTTCAACGCCGGCCCTAACTCGACGACCTTCATCGTTCCTGGCGAATGCTTCCCTACCAGATACAGATCCACCTCTCACGGAATCTCTGCCGCTTCAGGCAAAGTCGGTGCCATTATTGCGCAGGTGGTTTTCGGACCCCTCCGTACCATCGGTGCCGATGCCACCAAGGCCAAGACCGACCCGAGATACAGCACCCCCTGGCTCAACCACATTATGCAGATCTTTGCGCTCTTCATGCTTTGCGGTTGCTTCACCACCCTTCTGATCCCTGAGACGGCGAGAAAGACGCTCGAGGAGCTTTCCGGCGAGGACGATTTGTAAGTTCCACTTTCTGATAGTGTGTTGCCGTCGCCTCTGAAACCGTACTGACTGAAATTGCAGGGCCACAAGTGTTATCCCTGTCCATGGACACAACGAGGAGAAGCGTGTTGAGGAGGGTACTGCTGCCGGATCCGTCTGAAGGTGGTGCCACTGAGGCGAACCCAAATTTGAGCATTCGTTGTTTTGAGCAGCGATCGATACCCTTAATTGTAGTAAAATATGGCGTGGAAGAGTTTCATACGTAGTATATTATAGTAGACATAATAGACAGCATCAGCTGAATGTTGCATTGCTCAGTCGTGTTGCTTGTGATCGAGGGATGGGGACTGATGACTGTGGTTGTGCCATTCGTCGGTGTGAGCCGCCATAATGCTTGCTTCGAGAGCTTCGTGAATGCATGAGGATTTACGATCATGACCTGCGACCATGTTGAACATCTGATAATTTCTGTTCCTTCAGAGTTCAGACGTATTATTGATGAGGCGTGATGGTGGAGAGTTGGCTGGGCCTAGAAGCCGTTGACACCTGCTTACATAACCCGTCAATCTTTGGCAGGAGCTTGGGCTTGGGCTCGCTTGGATGGCGCACGGATCAACCGCAACCTTATGACGTCCGTTTGGTCCGCTGCAGGGACTTTGACCACTGCCCACCAGGCACCCCGCCAAGCGGATCCTCGGCCGCCCTAAAGTATTGAAAGTTCGGGGCATCCCCCCCCAAGCTTCCCGGACCTCCCTCCAACATCTCCAGATCCAACTTGCACCACTCTCTAACCATGGCCGCCTTTCTTCGACAAAAGCAGACAGGCATGCAGAATGACCTGTCTGCGTCAATCATCCCAGAGCTCTTCGCTCCCGATTACCAGTCCGCATATGGAATCAACTCTCAGGTTAGGTCAGTAGCCAAGCTACCCCACGTTGACGCGCGTCAACTCTATGGCATTTCGAGCTGCAGACTGTGATGTGAAGACCGAGACTGACTGAAAATGGTGTAGCTGCCTAGCCTACGATCCGATCCAGTCCCTCCTCGCAATTGCGACCAACGAGTCCAAGTTCGGCCCCGGCAAGATCTTCGTCTTTGGCCAAAACAGAGTCTCCAAGGTCCTCGAGCCGCCAAGGCACGCATCCTTCCGCTCACTCCACTTCACCGCCAATAAGCTTGTCTCCCTCGATGCCAAGAACGAACTCGGAGTATGGGACCTCGACACTGCGAAGCGCATCGCTGCTCTCGTCTGCCCCGGTCAGGTCGTCTCCATCATCACAGATCCCATGCTTGATTGGGCCTTTCTTGGCATGGCCACCGGAGAGGTCTTGGCCTACGATTTGGATAGGGAAAACATCGCGAGGTCGTTCCGGCTACTGAACTTCTGGAAGGAGAGAGATCCCAATGCCCGCATTGTTGGGTTGGTGGGCATTTCTTTGCATCCGAGAGATATTGGGCAAATGCTCATCGCGTACACCACGGGCATTGTTATCTACTCGTTCAAGCAAAACAAAGCTCTCAAATTCTTCGAATACGTACTACAACCAGGTGCACCTGGTGGTGGAGGGCCACCTCCGGACACGGTTCGCAGGCCGAGAGTCACCCATGCTCTCTGGCATCCAACAGGAACCTTCATCATGACGGCGCATGAAGATGGCAGTTTGGTGTTCTGGGATCCCAAGGATGGCCGCATCATCATGGCCAGGACCCTCACGGAGATGCATGTCGATCAGGCAACACCGAACGCTGGGCAAGTCGGCTACGCAGAGCCATATGGACGTATTGCTTGGTGCTGCAAGGAGAACCCGGATGATACTGGGCTCTTGATTTCCGGCGGTCAAAGCCCGGAATCCCCTCAAGAGGGGCTGACCTTCATCGAATTAGGCCAGACGCCGATTTACGCCACTTCGAGTTGGCAAGTTCTCCAGGATCATCTCAAAGGCAAACGCCAAATCACCTTGCCTACTCCACCGGGCGCCCAAGTCGCCGACTTCCTCCTCATCCCTCGTTCTTCGCCTTATTTTGCCGGCGCACAAGATCCTATTGCGATCATGACTCTCCTGACTTCGGGCGAGTTGCTGACGATGAGCTTTCCGTCGGGATATCCCATCAGTCCCACAAACCAGCTGCATCCGTCCATCTCCTTCATTCATCCATATGTGAACAAATTTGCTGTGCAAACACTGGATAGAGGTCGCTGGATGGGCATGATTGAGACCAGAAACCAAGGCGAACCTTTCTTGAAGGGTGGTGCCGAGACCGCAAAGCCGAAGCGCAGATACGAAGGCCGCACGATCTTCCAGATAGCACATGGGGACAGCACCGTGCGACTTTGGGATGCTGGTCATAATGATGAGGTCGAGAATCCGACCATGCTGCAAGTTGATGTGGCGCGCGCATTGGACCGCTACGAAGACATCGAAATCACGGCGATGAACATGGCCCCCAGCACTGGTGAATTTGCGGTGGGAACTCGTACGGGCGAATTAGTTCTCTACAGATGGGCCGGCAACCGGTTCTTTGGCAAAGACCACCATGAGGATCTGCCACCTAGTCCGGGAGCGCTGACGGACATCAGCTCAAGAGCAGAGCCCGGTCTCAAGGAGGGCTTGCAGCCATGGCAACTGTACGAGATGATGCAAGGTCCTATCACGGCCGCCTGCGTCTCAGATGTGGGATTCGTAGGTGTCGGCTCTGAGGGTGGCTTCTTCAGTGTCATAGACCTGCGCGGTCCCTCTGTCATCTTCCAAATCTCCATGACGGAATTCGCCCAGCAATCCAAGAGATCTTCTTTCTTGAAGGGATCCCACGGCAACGCTCATGGAAAGGAGTGGCCGGTAGCCATTGAGTTCAGCGTTATGACGCTGGAAGGCGACAACTATTCTAGCATCTGTTGTTTCGTGGGAACCAATCTTGGCAAGGTGGCTACTTTCAAATTGCTGCCGTCTGGCAACAGCTACTCTGTCAAGCTAGCTGGCGTCCAGCATTTTGACGGCAAGATAGTTGCACTTTGCCCCATCCAAGCAGACTCTGGAAGGCCTGCTCTTGCAACGGGTCCAATTGTTGCGGGACTCAGAAATGGGCAGCAAGTCAATGGCGTTCTGATAGCTGGTAAGCCCCTTTGACGCGACACTTTTTGCGCCATTCGAAACTGACAAACTACTAGTGACACAAACTGAGATTCGAATCTTCAAGCCCGCCGGCGGGAAGGGCGCTTCCAAGACCTTCGATGACATTATGTGCGATGCAGCAAACGTCACTGAATTCGAACTCCACGGCTTCGCCATTGTCGGTGTGTTCGGTGATCGGACGACTCGTGCATTCTCCATCCCTGGTCTGAAGGAAATTGGCAACGCGCCGCTCCCCATGCTCGATGGCAGTCGCACCCTTTCGTCCGTAGTGACGCAGACTGGCGATATCTTCGGCTGGACCGGCCCTAGTGAGATTGCTGTCCTTAATGTTTGGGGAACTGCCAAAAATCTTGAGGTTAGCGATGACATCCTCATCAACCCCGAGCTCGTCACACCTCCACGCCCCACGATCTCGAACATGCAGTGGCTTTCCGGCACGCAGCACATCTCTCCGACTGACCTCGACCTCCTGATCGACCCCAACCGTCCGCCAAGCCGGCGGATGATGGCGGCGGCGGCAGCTGAAGCGAGAGCTGCCCGCTCTGCAGGTCAGCCCGGATCGAGTAATGCGGGAGGATCCAACGAAGGTTGGGGTGATTACCTGACGAGACAGCTCAACGAGCGTACCGAGAAGCTGAACGTCATGAACGACAGCATGGACAGCCTGCAAAACCAGAGCCAGGGTTGGGCAGACGATGTTGGCAAATACATTAACAAACAGAAGAGGAACGTTGTACTTGGAGGGATCAAGGGCAAGTTCTTCTAAATCTACTGGCTACCTATGATGAAATGAGTAATGGCTGCTACGGCCTCAAGGGGATATTTTTAGAGCTTTGTGTAAGATTAGGGCGTTAGGCATTGAACTACTTTCACTCTTAATTTTTCAAGATGACAATGGAGATGAATTTTCCATTTTGGTAACGAAGAGCGTATGCCTCGCTTGATCCATGCCGTCAAGATGATGAGCAGCCTGCTGCAAGGGGCTTGAAAACTTTTGACCAAACTCGCCCCATTTGCAAATTCTTCCTTTAACCCAACCTTGTCATATGACTACATCCCCTAAACCACCACGTAATCCTCTTTTCCTCGTACCAAGACTATTTATATCAACAAAGATGAACACAAACCCCGGCTCTTTTATATCATCTGCCATTATTCATATGGATTCGATCGCTGGACTCGGCTCGCTTCGCATCGGTCGCATCGATCGACGAGGTAGTACAGGCTTTTTCGGTCTGCGGTTTCTATCTCATCGCGTTCTTCGTCTCGGGGCCTCGAGAGCAACGTCGTTCGGACTACTGCGTCAGCCGACAACTTGCGGGAATGGGGTTACTTGCCTGGTCGTTTGTACGTTCACTCAGCGGAACCTTGTGACGTCTTTATCGTCGATAGACAAACTTTTCGTGATGTAGGATTTGGCTGTAGGCTTGCGTGTCAGTATTAGGGGCTGGGGTGCTTACCTCCTTATCTTTAGAACGTCCGAGAGCTGAGCATTTCGTCTTTAGGGGCCTGGAAGAGATTGCTTTCAGCGTGTGAGAGGGGGGCTGGAGAGACTTACAGTTTCCGTGGCGACACTTGTGGTTTGACACGATGTGAAGTGATGCATCAAGCAAGCCCTGTGGTTAGCGTTTGAGAAGTGAGGGTAGAGAACTTACAGACAAAATTGTAGATTGATGGCTTGGCTCGTACTTTTCTGGGGTTGTTAGCGTGACGAGAGATCGAGGACTTACAGACGATCTGTTTCAAGATTTTGAATGGAACGGTTGGGGTACGTAAAAGTCTAGCTCCGTTAGTAGGAAAAGAAGAAGAAAACTTACGGTGAGATAAATCTTTAACCTCTCATCGTCTTTGGTCGTGAACCCTTGATAATCAGAATTGTGGAGAGAGAAACGAAACCTACAATCAGTTTAAAAGGCGAAGAAGAAGAATAGCATCAAGTTCTACGATTGGATGTCTAAATGGCTAGTCAAGTCAGCGTATGGGAGGGGGCAGGACGTACTGGAAGAACCCAGGCGATTGGGCTCACGCGGTCTTGAAGCTACTGATGTACTATTTCTGGTCAGCAAAGAGTGAGGGACTCGGAAAACTCACCAGCTTCAAGTATAAGGTCACCATTTGAGAAAACGCGATGCCCTGCGGTCTGTCAGTGAAACAAGGCGAAGTCGTGACTTACATGCAAAGGTCAGAGAGAGATCGGACTGTCAGGCTCAAGAACAATCTCGATTGCGCTCAAAGCCTCAAATCGCGGCGACGGGGAATTGGGCGGCCATTATTATAGAGGAAATCATACCTAAGTCTGTGGGTTGTCTTGACGTTAGCAAATAAAGTCGAGGGAGCTCTCACCTGCATGATGGAAGCTGGCTGATGTTGGAGTGTGTGATGAGGACGAGAGAAATTATTTTCCTTGCTTGGATGAGGACCAGAAGCTATATAGAACCAACCTTCGAAGCTCAATCTTCAAGTTCCATCGAAGTCGAGTCCTTGAAACACGTTTCATCCACGGTATGCTTTGTTGCATTTCCTTGTCGGCGGGAACTGAATAAGAGGTCGAGTCTACAGGTGCCTTGTGTCGAGGACCAAGATGATCCAAAAAGCCAGAGGCTGACGACTGGCTGTGAGTGAAAGACAGTGTCGTATCAGAAACTCGTCAAGTCGGACTCTTTGTCTTTTTGTTTCTTGCACGGATTCGACCTCAAACGGGGCCGGTCTTTGTGGGGTTCGAATTGTCGACACCAGGATTCCCCAAAGAACCAGCTCTGGCCACCTCTTTCTTCAACGGAAAGTCATGAGCGAGGATGACGATGGCTTGCATGATGGAGCACTGAACTCATTTGCTTTCATCGTATTTCTATGATAAGACACTTACCTTCTTTCCCCGCAAATATTCGACAGACCTTCAAATTTCTATGTCGTCAGTACTCCCAGTCTCCAACGTCTTAATCATACCAGATGGCCGGAACTGGATTTTACATAACGCCTGTGATGGGCTGGCTCATTGAGCGAGCGAAAGTGGCAACCGGCACATATCCCAGATTATTTAATGAGTCAGGTGGATTCCAGACCTCAGTCGAGGAGTGTGCAACTACAAGTTCCCGACTTTGTACCTTGGTTGCACCTATGTAACCGCGACCATAGAGTCTAGAATCTTGCCCACAGCATACAGTGCCGAAATTCACCCGTGACATCAAAGGATTGTTATGAGACGTTTATATCACTATTCCCGTCACGTCCGCTATTAACTTCGTTGACGGAAAATACACGACTGCGAAAGCGTTGCTACCATCGCGGCTTATATTTACTTCCAGGACCTCTTGACTATCTATCCAGTTCCTTTAAGCTTGATGAGATTTTACTAGCACTGGTATTCTCGCTAAGTCCATGAAGCAAAAAGAGGCTTCATATTTGGCATAATTAAGGACTAGGCGGATAAAGTTCCCTTGACGTTTCCTTTCGGCCTTCTCATTCCTTTTGGAATAGGGTTTGCACAGCCAAAGCATCACGTTAGTCAATGTAATCAATGCTAGAGACCATGAACCTGTCGAAAATGAAGGAGCCTCATGTATTGGCCCCCTATAAAAACACCCATCGCCGCAGTAAATATGTTCATCAAGAACCTCAGGCTTCTCGATGAGCGTCGCGGCCAGCTAATACCGGCGGGACAACGGGCGTTCAGTCTTGTACTGAGCAGTGAGACTGTGTGATACCGGCAGCCTTTCATGTGATTGAGACTCTCCTGCAAGCGAAAACCCGAATTCATTAATGATCTCACCATTTCTTTGTTCCTCGCATTCTCCCCGATAGATTTATGACTAGATACGTTATCGAGACAGCGAGTGAGTGTCAAGCACTTCAAGACACACTCATAGTAAAGAAAGAAGAGACTTTATACTGGGCTGAAGAGTTAATAGATGCGGGCTCCTGGTTTATTTTACCATTGACCATTTCCCATAACTAAGGTACAGTATAGAACTCCCACAGGTCCCACTCTTTTATTCCTTACTGCATTTTAAACGTCTTTTTTGACCAGATAATAGATGCACTATAAAGACAGCATGTCGAGCACCTCATTTTTTTTTTAGCAAGAAAAGATGAGATTTGAGATAGGTGCAAAAGGCCCAACGGGAGCGGGAACCGATGGGGCATCTACCATCTAGCACCTTCCAGTATTGAAACAGCAACGCTCACAAGAGTGTACAAGAACGTGCCAGCTCTGCAACATTTCAAAATTACTACCGGACCTAATATTTTCTATGTGACAGACCGTATGGTATAGGGACATGCCTTTGGTTCCTAAGGACGGGGTAGGAGCCTGGAAGATGGGGTGTCTTTGCAGTCACGGTTCAATGAATATTTTCGTTTGATTGAACTAGGGAACATGGACTCATTCAATAGATATTTGTGGTGCAAAGCCCTTGAGGCGAATAAGAGAGTACGTCAAATTCAAACCCTGCAACTCACCTTACTGACTCTGAGATGTCGAGTACCTTAGCAAAGCAAGTCCAGAGCAAAAGCTGAAAAACCACATTGATATGTCTGTAATCTCCTGCCTGTGAGACTGGGATCCCGTGGCCTGGCGGCTAATAATCCGAATAGGACATGACGAAAAGAGAACCTACCTAGGACCTTGCCCCTGAACGGGGGGCGTCAGCGGAACATCTTGCATACCAGCTGCAATGGCCTCAATCCGTGGCGGCTTCGCCTTCTTCTTCTTCTGCTCCTCGCTGTACCGTGGAACACGGTCACCATCGGCCGGAACATCGCTTTCCTCACCCCCGCCTCTCACGGACTCCTCGGAAGGCCGTTGAACCACAAAGACGTCGTCGTCCTCCCGCACGCTTCCATGGCCCGAAAGACCGCCGGTGTCGGCCACACCCGAGGCCTGCTGTTTATGCCCAGGCTCGAATCTCAATTGATTATGGCGCGGGTGCATACCAAACTCCTTGATGTAAAAGTCCAACGTCATTTGCAAGTTACGACTGTCCTCGCGAATAAACTCGTGCTGGTTCTTGAGCGTCTTGTGGACTTTTTGGAGCTCTTCGAGGTCCATGGCGAGGGAACGGAAGGTCTTTTTGTCGCGCGCTAGGTTAGATGCGGAAGTGTACTGCGAAGTAGATTGCCAAGAAGCAGATGACCGAGACGACGACGAGGCCTATTACGAGGCGTTTGGCGCCTGGGCAGGTGACGCCGTCAAAGTTGCCAAGTACGCGGGGAGCGAGCGTGTCTCTGAGAGGTTCGTGGGGAGGCATCTTGTTTTTGGGCTTGGTTCTGTCAATGATGTTAGCAAAAATAGGAGTGGAGATGTACCTGGTAATGCTTGTGGGTGTGTAATGGTAGTTGGCTTTTGATGTCTGACTTCGTTTAGGATGGGAGAAGAAGAAGCAACAGCCGGTGAGCCTCTGGGCTTATGAAGACCTTCTTCGAAGAATCTAGCCTGCTCAGGCCTCGCACCGTAGTCTTGGTTCGTTGTTTCTGGAACACAAAGTACAGATGTATTGAGTTCGGGTGTGTTCTCTCAGCGTCTTTGTGCGTCCCCATATATAATGTCTAACAAAGGAAGCCGATACGCTTTGATCAACAGTGATTCGTCAAAGGATATGTGACCGATGCATAGACCTTCGGTCAGGACACAAGAAGATGAACACAATCAAAGATCTCACATAACGACTGACAATGGAAACGACAGCAACGCTGACCAACCACAGAGTGGCCGCTGAAAGCGATATCGAATTATTTCGACTCATGAATTGCCAGAGATCCTTCGGGTCCAGCAATGATACCTCAGCAAGGCTCCGAGGAAGCTTTTCTTGGCATGGTACCAGCCGATGAACCGAACGTGTAGTCACCAGGTATGCATAAGTACACAAAAGGTGTCGCTCAGTGAGGCGTTCGGCCAGCAGGATCTTGCATTCTGTTTTGGATCGATATCCGGAATAGCGGTCTGGAGAGCTGCGGCAAGAACGTCACTTATGGCAGGACGACAGAAACCAGGCGCAAGCTGCATCTCGCCCGATCCGGATTTGTGTGGGTAGAGCAGTTGGGATGCAACATGAGGGGCCACTCGCACACCATCAACCAAGGCCGAGATTTCGACAAGCGAAAGTGACTGAGAAGCCAGGGACCAAGAGAGCCTGGGCGCCCGCTTCGAGTCGATATAGTGCGGCACAGACAGACAGGGGAGGCCAGCGGGACACCCGTACTCGCCTCACACGGGCGCATGGTCGATGGTTTCCCCTCAGGGCCCGCGTCGGTCTCCCGAGATGTTTGCTTGATCGCTCCGGCAATTGCCCTTGTATTGAAGGGTGATACGAGAAACTGCAGTTACTCAGGGGTATGTTGATGAGGCTCAAGAAGGAGAGGCAGTATAGACGAAGGCCGGATACCAGCCCGTTGTGACCTGGGCACAGAAAACCCATCAACAAAACAGGCCATTTTGCCGTCGACATAGTCAACACGATCGCAACAAGATCGACATGCCTGCGCGCCTCTTGCATGGCAATGCCTGGCTGCCCCGGGCCCGAAAGGCAGCGGTCAAACCCTGGAGTATCCTGCGGCCATCAAGAAAAAGCAATGATGAAAAGTGCAGAATTGGAAGAAGCAAAATGAGGCCCGCTACCGATCCATGAAGAAAAAGTGACTTCGACGAACACGGTCGATTGTAGTCATCGATCCGCAACGATGTTGCCCGGTGGAAATGGCAGTTTTCTCTTCCTCACTCACCGCCATATGGCATGGATGATACGAGGCTGTCTTGGCTGTCAGGTTTCAGAATGTTCGTGGAGGCCTTTGGACATGTTTTGTTGCTGTGGCGTATTTCAAGTTGTGGAGTCTTCTTGATAGGCAGCAGTTTGGTAATCCGCTCGACATTGGCCAAGTGGTGGAGAGGATATGTTTCGATGGGCTGGCGAGCTCAGAACCGGTCAGGGATGGTGGTTGCAGCCAGCGGCAGCCAGGACCGGCGGGCAAAATTTTGCGTGTTGGTACGGCCGCATGATGCGTGTCCACCTTCTAATTAACCCTATCAGTCGCGGCGAAGAGTGGGATTGGGAGAAGCAGACCACCGTGCCGGGGTACCTTGGTCTTCGCCGTCGTACTGACAGGTTCGCAGCAGGACTTGCTCGGGAGCTGGTTTGGCTGCGTTATCAGGTACCCCAGGTTGTGGGCCTGGACACTGGGCGAGTAGGCCGGAGCTGTGTTACGGAACCAGTTTCACTCGCATTTGCTGTATTGTGGGATGTGTTCTGCGGTTGCTTGCATAATGGCGGGATGCGGTACTCCATCGGTCCAGCTGCTCGGGTTCGGGCGGTACATGAAAGGTGTCGCTCACCCTATGAGGAGAAAGCATGGATAGTGGCGATGCTGAAAACTCCCATCACTAGGTGTGATGACCTCGCTCATGGCTCTGTCATCGAGTTTGGTACACTCACCGTCCTTCGTAGCCTCCGTTGAGGATCAGAAACGGCGTGTTTATTCACAGGACCCTCACTTGAAGTGTAAAAATTGGAGTGACGGGCGACCGATCGTGTGCTGGCAGTGCAAGGCGCCAAAGACGTTGACAGCGTACGCGAAGTCATGCCTGTGATGATTGCGGTTAAAAAAGTTCGTGAGGACATGCTGCCAATAGCCTTTAGCTCCGAGGTAGAAGCGTCTTGTAGATATGAATCGGGCTAGGGTTGCATAAAATATGCATTCCCGACATGAACTCTCAGGTTCAGACGGCCCAGATTGCTGAACCGGCTTGAAGCAATTCCTAACGACACCCTAACGGACTACTGCCGTCTGCGTATCTTGGCCTGGCGCTGGTGTGGTCAAGATATCACGCATCATAGCTTCTTTGGGGGTTCTATCTTGGTTTCCACTCCGTACTGTAGGGTAGTGTCCCCAGGGCGATGATAGGGACCTTCGAACCGAGGACTCAAGGATATTGATTGTATGCCACGTGGCGCCGTGGCATCGCTGCCAAGGTTGTCTGGATGAAGGCGTGCTGTCGCGCGCAGGGTTCGGATGTTTATGTACTGCTACCGGTCAGCATTTCTCTCCACCTTCGTGTGTGGTGCTAGGAGAGGGCGGGTGCCGTGGGGCCAAGTAAAAATGACAAACTACCACCAAAGCTGGCGGGGATTGATGTGACAAGGTGAGGGGGACAAGGAACTACGACATTGTGAGTCCCGACTCATGCTGAGCGTATCCGGACCTACTGCGTACCTGGTAAGGTAAGGTGTGTAAGAAGTACGTACTCGAAGCGCAAGACAACGTATGAGAACTAGGTAGCTTTGGAGCCTGCCGGACGAAATCTACTCCGTAGACAATGTCCAGGGTCGCCGGGAGGCCGGCCGGGATGGTTCTATCCAGAAGAGAGAATAGAAGCTCCAAACATGGGTGGCCCTTGAAAAAAAGAAGCTCCAGGGGCCGACCAGGGGACAGGGCAGGGGTGAATGGCAACTCCAAAGCGGAAAGGAGCACCCACCACCCTGGTCCTTCCATATCATTTACTCCACCCTCCAATTCTACGGAGTATCCGTACCTTCTGCCCTTTCCATGCCGTCTGGCACGGAACCATTTGGTACGGGATCCATCTGGCGTGGATTCATCTGGTGCCTCAGGTGCCTACCGATTGGGCGACTCTTCAGAACTTGGAGTAAGGTAGGGCAAGGTAGAAAGGCAGGAGAAAGCGGATGACCTCGCCCTTTTCCTGCCTCTCCCTGCCTTGGGTACCACGCGGAAAGCACTCCTCAGTCCTCACCGCCTTCCGTCCTCTATCCATGTCCCATCCGAGCTGGCTTCGTCTCCGCCCTTTCCATCATCATGTCGCGGCTCTACCGGCCTCAGCCTTCAGCCCGCCGTAAGTCACTTTCTCACATTCTCACAATCTCATTATCCCACAATCTCACAATCCCACAATCTCACAATCTCACAGCCTCTGCTCAACAAATTTGCCTGGCATCGGTCAGTCTAGCGTACTTTATTCGCAGGCCAGCTTTTCGCCGCTACGGATACGGACTACCACCCCGAACAACAACCCTGCCTCGATCCCTTCGACCACCCAACCAACCACCTACGGCACTTTCGGCTTGTTTCGAATCTAATCTGCTGATCGTGAGTTGTTCACGCCTTCGTATTTCTTTGCTAATGACCGACGCTGTCTGCCTTGGCCAGCTACAGGGGCCAAATCCGACTGCCAAAGCTCACTCTACCATTGTCCGTCCATGTCGGACCCGGTGTTCGCCTTCCGCCTTTGCCTCCAACTACGCCCGCCGTCAACTTGACGACTGCGGGCTGATCGATAATCAGGCCGCTCCCCGCTACTGCCGGACAGGATCCACGGACGAGGTCAATCATCCTATGGCGGTCTCTACGAGTGGCTGGCCAAAAGAATAGCTTCCTTCGCCGAACACCCTCCCACCAGTTCCTCCAGAAGCCATTCATAGCCTTCTCAGTCACCTTCAGTTACCGGCGACCTCGATTGCGCAGTGTGGCGTCCGAGACAGACGATTGGCCTCTTTAAAGCTCACCGCTTTTCAGCATTGAGCGCCCTAGCACCAAGCCTCCCGTACTGAAGGACTTCTTCATCACGTCTGCGCCGCGTGCGCAGGAAGACGCATCCCGGGGGGCAAGGCTACAAGAAAACCGTCGCCCTTTCCCCGCACCTCTTCGAGCCCGCCCTGTTCTCTCCTTCAAGGATGTACTGGGTGTGAACTCAAGACAATTTGACCCATGAAGGCGACATTTCTCCAAGTGGGAAACATGACCTACCCGAATCCCTGCATTGGTCTGTCTGCAAGCTCCTCGGTCGCAGTCGCGACAAGAAATTTTTGGATCATCCCCATCCAATTTGGGGGCTTTTCCCAGGGTGGTCTTGTTGCTTTGCGGACACCGCACTTCCCACCGGTAGACTACCACACTACTTACCTACCTTAGTTTTCTGTCAAGCACGATCACCCGCTTTCTTCGCCTTACCTCCCCACACTCCCACCATCATTTCTCTCACCTGCGCGCCACCCTTTCCCCCAGTGTTCTCCACCCTGTTTGTCCTCCTCTAGCAACACTCCAGACGCAACGACGCCTACGTCTCAGTCTGATGCATCCTACGAAATTGCACCTGTCAGATTTGCCACTTACTGGCCACGTTCATGATGTACATGGCCCTGTTCCTGAACTTATCCCGACCGCTAACCCTGCAGGCAGGAAAACTAGGTACCAAAAGGCACAATGATCACCGAATCAAGTTCTTCTGACAGTCAGGCACAAGGCCAATGCCGGACTTGACGACTCAAAATACCGACGCTTTAACTGAAAGGAAACTTGGGTACCGGGCAAGTCGCCAAGTATCCGAGGCGGTCGTCTGTCATCCCGCCTCCCTCTGCCTCGCCTTTGGATGGACTGTGTGTCTAAGTAGCCATCACCCATCTTGGTCGGTACTCAGTGCCGTGTCCTATGCCTTGGCCGTCGCCGCCCTTCGCCAATCTCTCATCTGTTCTCCCCCACGCACTTCACGCCCTTTTGACCGCTTCCAGAAGGCGTCCAAATCTGGGCCGCCGGCAACTCTCTTGTTCCTAGCAACACTTTCACGTTCATTTACTTAAATTCTATCTTTCGCCACTTGACCTCCATTGTGAGATTTACTCTGTAGCCATCTACTATCTCTATTCCTCCCCTGAAAGAAGGCCCAAACACCTCCTTGATGTGCGTCAAGCGAATACTAGACGTCTGAAATTTGAACGATCCCTCAGCTTCAACTTCGTCACCACGGTCATCGCCTTCTCTATACTTTACTGTTCGCTTTTGTTCTCTTTCGGAATTACACAGCATCGTCACCATGACCGCCAGCCACACATCCTCACAGCATAACCATACTGGAAGCTCGTAAGACACTTGTTTCATGTCCCAACTGTCCCGAATGGACTCTCCTTTTATTAGTGACTAACGTTTAACAGCAGCAGCAAGTCTGCCGGAAAGCCTCCCTCCGACGAAAAGCCCTCACGAAAAGTCCGCCTCGACATGTTTAACAAAGACAACAAAGACGATCTAATTTCCCGTCTTCACGATGGCCAATCCAAAACTCAGACCCTTGAAGACAAGCTTGGTGAACACCTCGCGAAACTCCCATAAACGACTACGACGAAACACTCGTGCACTCAAGCATACCCCGCCATCACTTCCAGATCCCGTGTACACTACAACCCGTCACTATATTTCCTTCTGGCTGGTCCAACCTCGTTGTCTCTCCAAATGCCTCCTGCAGTAATGTCGTTCCTCGTTGTTTCAATTATCGAGCTTAGAGAAAAAAATCCCCAGAGTTCTTTCATCTATCATTATGTGCCTAAGAAAGGATGTATCAATTTTCAACGTCCGCCAAGGGCAAGCTAGTGGCTTGGATCATGTATCAAAAGGTTTCGAGGATTATTTTATTTGCAAATAGATGCAATGTTCCCTACGTTCTATGTGGCCCCCCGTCACGAGTCAACTAACCCTGTGCAACCCTGCGCCGCTTCGAGACCTGGAACCCACGACAGTCCGCGGAATTCAACTTTGCGATGGGTGCGGCACCACGGAAATCGATGGTCTTGGTGATGTCTTGTATTTCCATGCCCAACCCACCGCGCCAATGACGACTCATTATTACGCAAAGGAAAAAAAAAAAAAAAAAAAGGCCCGATACCAAACTCCATGGGCACAGGTGACGCAAAGCGCGCGAGTGTCCACGAAAGACACGCGCGTCTCGGCTGCTAAGTCCACGCAACAAGGCTCTCGCCAAGACGAGCCGTGGGTCATTGGCCAGCTATCCGCGAAGCCGAACGGGAGGGCACGCGCGGCCCATTTTCGACATCCTAGTCCTAGACCCCAACCAAACTTTGCTTTTGCTTGGTCAAGGTCGCGCACGTTTGGAGGGGTGGTGCTTATTTGTCTACCACTCCAAACAACTACTGGACCAGTAACTCGTTCTGCTCAACACCGGGCCTCCTCCCCTCCGCGACTTTCCTCCCAACACGAAGAGTGGGTAGTTGACACCCTGGCCTGGCCGCCTGGGGAATGGGGAATGGGGAATGGGGAATGGCATTAGCGTTTGCAAGGTACCTTATCCGTCCCGGACCTTGCTTGATCTTCTCCACTGAACCCCGCGATGATGCTAATTGTTAGTGGGCCGCAAATCCCTGCACGCCTTGTAGGGCGACGAGAACTCAGCCGAACAAGGGCCGATGACATCGCTGACCATTCAGTGAGAGGTTCAGAGAAGTTGTTGTGAGTCCAGAAATCGTTCGTGGCCTTGAGCCTGCATGTTGTTCTTCTCTAGCTGAAAATTAGGCCCGAGACGCAGCCGTCTGGAATTTAGCCAGCCAGTGCGCTTTCACGCTTGGTCCCCCGAGGCTAAGGCGAACCGGCACTTTGTCAAGCGAAAAGGAATCCCGGCACTTTTGATTTGTTCCGATCTAGTTTCAGGGGATACGTAGATCTGTCTACGGCGTACCCTCGGCACGAATTCAATCGGGACAATCAATGACCGACCGCGCGATGATGATTCGTTCGATGTCTGACAAAGCAGAGCCGCTGACGCTGGCAGCTACACCAACATCCATGTCTGGCTGAATGCAAGAGTTGGGATATGACAGGATCTCTGGATGCCTAGATCTCTCGATGCCTCGTCCGAGAATGCCGTCTCATGGGACGCCTGGTCGCCCGTTCACCGGGAGCGGGCCGTTGACATGTGAACACCGGCGCCGTTGCGCCGTCTGTGGGACCGCACGGACGGGTGGGAACGGTGCAGCCACAGCCGTCGTCCGGTCCCGATCCCTGGGAAAAATGTTTTTTTCTGCCCTTGTTCTGTGCGTTGGCGTGACTCTAGTCGAAGATCGCTAGGTGCTTCGAAAAACGTTGTTCATTGAGGTTAGAGCGCCACAAGCGCGAGCCTTGAAACGACGTCAATCTTGTGTCGACCCCGCGATCGCGGTTCCCAGCGTTTGATGGATGATTTCAATTTCCGCATCTCGTTGTGTTTTAGAGCAAAAAGTGGGAAAATCATCGAGTGTCCTTGACGAGTGCTCAGACATATGGCATGAACACGACCGACCGAGCTTCCTCGCGGTTTTAAGTCAACGCACCCACATTTGGCCACCCCAAAAATCCCTCCCAGCCACCGCATTATTATCCATACCCCAATGTACAAACCACCACAACAATTGCAAAAATCGTCCAGATGCAATTATTTTTTACACACTTATTTATCGATATGTCATGGTCGCATATACCGAAAATAAAGTTGCTCAGGCTCTTAAGGCTATCGGAAACGGTCTCTCTATCAAGAGGGCCTCGATTAAGTTCGGAATACCAAGATCAACACTTCATAATCATATGAATGACCACCAGAACAGAGCAACGGCTTTCGCTAAGCTTCAGAGGCTTTCTCCTTAGCAGGAAGATAAGCTAGCTGAATGGGTTCGCATTCAGCACACTCTGGGTGTCGCACCAACACATGAACAAGTCAGGGAATTTGCTGAGCGAGTTCTGCGTGCCCAGGGGGATAATAATCCCATTAGCAAGAGATGGATCGAAGCTTTCTTAAGAAGAAACCCCTCAATTAAGGTCCAGAGAAGTCGAACCATCGACTCTAGACGTGTTAATGGAGCAACTACTGAGGTAATTAGGCCCTGGTTCCGATTACTCGACATACCAGAGATCAGGAAGATCAAACAAGCCAATAGGTATAATATGGACGAGACTGGTATCCTGGAAGGCAAGGGATCTAATAGGCTGGTCTTGGGCATGGCAGAGACCAAAGCAGTGCGGAAAAAAGAGCCTGGATTGCGTGCCTGGGTGTCGATTATCGAGTGTATCTTAGCTGAGGGTAAAGCCATTAAACCACTGGTGATATTCAAGGGAAAGTTGGTCCAGCAGCAGTGGTTCCCCCTTCAACTTGCCCCATCCGATGGTTGGAAGTTCACAGCAATAGATAATAATGGCTGGACTATAGATGACACTGCTGTTCGATGGTTGAGAAAGGTCTTCCTGCCCTAGACTGAGCCCCCCCCCCCCCCCCCCCTTAGGGGACTCGACAAGCGAAAGGAGCCTCGACTGTTGGTCCTGGATGGGCATGGGAGTCATACGACGACTGAATTTATGTGGGAGTGCTTTATAAATAACGTCTATTTGCTCTTCTTGCCACCACATACATCCCATGTCCTCCAGCCCCTGGATCTAGCAGTCTTTGGACCAGTGAAAACTGCCTACAGAAAGGAGCTCGGAAACCACGATATAATAGACAATTCTACTATCGTTGGAAAGCGGCACTTCTTGGCCTGCTATCCCATCGAGTGCTGTTGGGCTACAGATACATTGCTCCACTCTTTTACCCACTCTTAACCCCTCACATCAGGAATACATGACAGTACGTCATTTACCCCTAGGAATCCCTGGCTTCCCTTCACCACCAAAATCGCCTATCTACACATGCCAATTCGTCACGATGGCCTCGAGCGACGATAGTGACTCTGAAGGGTCTGTACATTCCTGTATCAACGTTGCGATACTTCCTGAAGACCTCGCAAGCGCCTGTACAGCTGACTGTACGCCCGAGAAGTGTGATAGCGCGACTGTACGCCCACATGAACCACCTTCGCTGGAACGAGGCAAACTTGTTAATAGCTTCTTTCTCCAGCTCTGGGGCGAGCCGGAATGGGCTCGGGCCAACTCTCAGTACGAATGGCGAAGGACCCTTTCCACCCAGCTAATTCAGCGCTTTGGGCCATTAGTTCATGGGAGGCAACGGGCCCGGCCCCAGAGGGCCACTGATACAAGAGAGAATTCCATTCCATGGCAACAACATACGAGGGTATCACGGAAGCCCTCTGCTTGCTTGTCTTGTAACAACAAACGAATAGCATTAGGCGAAGTCACACGGAACTTGCGAAGAGATAGGAGAAAGAAGACGAGGTCAGGATGCAAGCAGTGTGGGGTTGCGATTTGTAACTCTGATGATTGCTGGTACCTCTATCACACTCAAAATATATAGGCAACCGAAGTACCTTTCAAATAGGGCCATTGATTGGTCGAGAAAACTCTTGGCTGCCCCTGAGTGGTCAGGATCCCTTCTGTGAATGTATCTGTAGCCCAACAGCACTCGATGGGATAAGAAAGCTCGTTTGGCTGGTTTGACGCCACATAATATACGAAGTGGCTGGAGGGTAACTGGACTATGGCCTATCAACATGGATAAGCCACTCACCAGCCCACTGATAATCGCCAGCCTATCCACACCGCCAAACAAGACTGCAGAGGCTGGGGCAGTGACTATCAATGCCAGACAAGTCGTTGACTGGGCATCAGCGACGTCTGTTGTTGAGTGGTCGACTCCTACGAAAGCTGGTCAGCTCTGTGGCCACTTGAAGCTATTCACAGAACTCAGTCCAGACCACAACACTCGACGACTGCTGTTCAGAAAGATTAAAAAGGGCTTCAGTCAGCAGGCCTACCAATTGGCTGTCTCTGAGCACAAGGTTCGCCTGCTCCAGGCCCGAATTGACCGCATGGCACCCAGGAGGAAGAAGACTGTACAGACAGATCCAAATACCAGGTTCGCGACCATCGCCGACATACAGAGAGCTCAGGAGGACTCTGGCGACCGTCTCGTTAGTCCTAGTCGACTCGCAGGGGTCAAATCACCTAGTGAAAGTGGTGACTGTATTGTAGTGGCAGAAGAAGGTAGTTAATTAATTGAGTGTAGTTGGTGGTGATGTTTCGAGACTAAGTTGATTGGGGTGGCCAAATGCAGGGGGGGGGGGGCCAAATGTGGGTGCGTTGACTTACATATCACCGGCAGTGGATCTAAGCGAAGGCTCGTGGGCGGATCCCGGGAAGACAGTCCACCGCAGCGGAGTTCCGCTTCCCCATATCCACAATAAAGGAGCAGGTCTCAAACTATCACTTACCAAAGAGATCCAAAATAAAATAAAATAAAAAAAGGAAAGGAGGGCTGGTGATGACTTACTCGATAATTCACGCCCCTGCCCAGATTTGAACAGCGCGCCCCTCGGACCAGCACGGCTTCATTGGAGTATTTCTTTGTGTCGACTCTGCGTCAGAGTCGAAACCACTCGGCCAAATGGCCGGGGGTGCTGGTGATAGAATCAAGTGAATTGGCTCCCTAAGTAAGGGAAGAGAAGGAAGGCACGTGGGAGGAAGGAGCTGGATGTGGAAAGTTGGGAAGGAGCGGCTCAAGATTTAAGCTGCTGCCTGCCATGATCCATCGTAGCGCAATTACGACTGAGGAAAGTGTCAAACGCCCAGACACGCGATATGGGGTAGCTTATTGTTCTGCACGGACGGTGTCAACGCCACGAACTTCCTTAATCTCGACTACTGTGAGACGCCCCCTTACTTGCGATGTTTATAAGAAGCTGCTCATTACCTCTCGAAGAGAACATGTTGTTTCCCGCATCTTGTGCAATACGGCCACATCGCTCATTACTTCTCCTTCTTTTCGAACCAAGCCCTAGAGGCTTAGTCCCTTCCTTTGAGGCAACTGCTCTTCGTCCACTCCTTTTTTCAGATCCTGTGTACAGTTCTCTCAGTCAGCCACTGCCAACTGATAGCCGTCATCGAGACACCATCAAGATATAATGAAGATCTCGCTTAGCCTTGGTTCGGCGCTGGCTGCCGCCGGTATTGTTGAGGGGCATATCGCCGCTTGGGCTGATGGCATGTATTGCCGAGTGAGTCTCTCAGTGCCATGACCCATGGCTCCTCTCTTTGTGGTAAGCATGACGCTGAAGAAAGCAAATGACAGGGCGGGAACAACACCGCGGTAGACGATTCCAACACCAACCTGGTAGTCAACCCGCTCTACCAACTCCCGAAAGCCAAGTGGTGGATGCAAGCCGACCGCGGATGCGACAAGGTGCCCCCTCCGGCGGGCCAGTTCCTCAACTTACCCGCCCGGGGCAAGTTCACCATCGATCTCGGAGCCAACCGCGGCTGCACAAGCCTTTCCTACGGCGGCAAGACCGCGACGCAGTGGCCGGACTGCAGCGAACACCCGGAAGACTGGCACGCGCCCGGGCCGGGCAAGTGTCTCGTCGATAACCTGGACGGGAAGGGCGGGGCGATGCACACGCAGAACTACACCACCACGGCCGGCACAGCATTCGCCATCAGCTATCAGTCGAATATCAAGAAGGTTACGATGGAGAACCTCGTTGTTTTTTCAGTTGTCGAGCAGTACGTTCTGCCTGTCTGATGCCAAAAGGTCAGCCGCTGACGGTGGTCCAAAACAGTACCCCTTGGAAACGCGTGACTTCGTACCAGGTCCCGGACTTGCCTGCCTGCCCGGTGGGAGGTTGCTACTGCGCCTGGCTCTGGGTGCCAGATGGATGTAAGATCACCCTCGCTTATGGCCTCGCTTGGCGCATTTTGACTGACTCGTGAATCGCAGGTGGCCAGCCAAACATGTAAGTCATCGTGACCAGGCACGATCAGAGGAGAAGATGCTAACAAGCAGAAAAGGTACATGCAGAACTTTAGATGCAATGTTACCAACGCCGTGTCCACAAAGAGACTGGGCGTCGCTAAGCCGCCCGTCGCTTGCCGAGATGATTCGAAGAAGTGTATCGCTGGACCGAAGCAAATGATTGCTTGGAATCGTGAGTTGTCGAGTGGCGATGATGCCCTGATCGTCGCGTCCAAATGCTAAAGTCTTTGCAGAAGCCGAAGGAAACAACGTGCCGGATATCGGGTACAGTCCCGGGTACAACGCCAGGATGGGCTTCAAGCCAGGTGCTCAGAATGACATTTTTGTCTAGAGAGCATCGTCGGAACTTCGTCGCCAGTCAACCGTCTGCAGGGTTCCAGATCCGGATATGCACACCTTGACCGAGTGGAGAGCGCTAGCGAAGCTCACCGGTGACATGGGGCCCAGCCTGGATGGTTTTGCGCGGTGAATTATTTTCCATTTCTTGTACATATTGATGACCATAAGCGAGGGGGAGAAAGCACAAACATCATTTGCTTTACTCGTGAAAGGTACCGGGGCCTAATGCACGTATTGCCGAGCGCTTTTTCGCCAAAAGTTGCCTAGATTGATGCGAGGCTTCGAGTAGGGACCAGTGATGAGTGTTTGCGGAGAGATCATCGTGAAGCGGCATGCTAGAGGCATGACCTGATCTGAAAACTGATATTGTGAAATGACCTTATCATCTTGTATGCAGCTCGGTCCTTTCAAAATATAGTACGGCCGTACCCCTGCGAGGAAACGTGGCCGAGCACAAGGCCTAGGACGCTAGGAGCGCATCATCTTGTTGCAGTCGAGGAGGTGCAACATGGGCAAAGCTGTGCCACACCAGTGAAAAACGCTACTACACCGACATGCGCCCTCTCACCGAGAAGTCGTGGACGGGATGGTGCGATGGCAAACGACGTGGGGACGGCTTGAGGAGCGATTCATAGATATCTTGGTTGTGTGGGGGACCCAAGCATTTCCTGTCATCTGAAGTCAATGAGGGGTAATGCTTGTCATGGTCGACGTCATGACGTGAGACCATAGCTTTGACGGCGCGGGAACGGATGAACCCTAAACGCTTAAGCCAACTGCAAAGCCTTGAAGCCTCTGAATTGCTGGTCAGCCTTCTGCGCCAGCTTCAGGCCTGGGACTGGCTCATGGAAGGACTCTCAGGCTTATCGCAACCGGCTTCCGAGATAGATTGATTTTCCAATACCATCTGTGTCGTCTCAGGCTCTTGGGTGGCACACGCGGGGGGTTGGTTGCAGCAACCGGCAGTGGCACGTCGCTCCGAGCGCCCATCCCTCTCAGGGGCGCAAACAAGGCGGAATCTGTACTGAGTATGGGGTGTCAATTGTCATCAGCCAAGTCTCGTTATTCCTTCTAAGAGGCCTTGCTCTTCCCCCTACCACATCTTCTTCGCAGTATGCATGCACTAGGGGGTGTAATACAGCTCGATGTAGTACTCACGATGTTATATCTAGCATGTCGATCGAGAGGCGGAAACAGGGCCTCATGTTCGACGGAGGCGGCTTCTCCAAATCTCACATTCCGGACGGAGGAGGGCGGAAAGAGTAATCGTCCTTGGCCTCAGATTGCCCTCGCCAATAGGGACGTATCCGTGCACTGCCGATGCAGCACAGGACTGCCTGAGTATGGGGTTGGTGTTTCTCCCAAATTTGATTCGCACATCCTCAGAGTGAACTGATGAAGCCGTACCTTTGCCTCCGCAACACCGAAACAGGCAAGCGTATGTGTGGCGACGGTAGCAACCTGGGGCCAAACAACGTGGCCCCGGCATGGGCCGTTCCTCTGGCGCAGAGTTCCTTGTCGACCTTCAAGCCATACTCAATTGAGTAAACACGTTAGGGGAGCATGGGATGTTTGACCCGCGGGCCCTGGGGTTATCACTGAGGGACTGGCACCTCGGTCACTGTCGAGTGTCCAGCATGCTGGTGCCGGATGCATGGCCTTGCTTCCGCGGCGAAGCTTGACGGATACATTGCCAATCGCAATGAAACCGCCCGAACAGGTTGGCGCCAAGTTGCTGGAAATTCCGCGGTAATGAATTCATTGTAAGGCGTCCGCAGGCAACTTGCAGCTTTTTTTGTCATGTGAGGCTAGAGTGGTCGACGGACTGGTGGGTGAAGCGATGGTCCGAGTCCACCCTCCCACGATCCTAAGCGGTCCATCAGAGACGCAGGGTCGGTGACACCGACGAGTGTCAGTCCGACTCCTTTTCACAATAACCCCGGGAATCTTGTGCTCTTCTCCCCGTACATGGCCTTGGGCGGGTCGTTCATAGACTCGGCACAACATCCAATGGGATTCGTCCCAGGCTTGGTATTGGAGCTAGGCCCACGGCACTGACAGACTTTGAGGCTGCCGCGAGGGCTTGTTGGCCTTTCTGTCGTGAGATTGAGGCCATGTAAACGGGTGTGGCTGTAGAGTTCTTTCTTCTGGACTCCCGCTGCATAGCACGATGGACGAGTGAGTGCGTTGGCCCTCGCCTCACGATCAGTCGTCGGCCATAAGTACGTGTGGCCCTGCAGTGAACTCGATGGCTTTCTCTCCTTCAATCAGACCATTGGAATTGAGTCATCTTCAACAGCAAATTAGCAGTCAAACTACTCCGATTACGACGATACGTTTCAAAATCATCTTCCTTGTCATCAAATACCTTTGCAACTGCAGTATGCCTGCCTCAGAAGTCTCCGTCCTTGTCAACGGCGCTTCCACGACAAGGTTCGTTACCGTGTCTTACCTATCCCGCTGGTCCCCGGAGTCTGATCTGTTTTTAGAGCGACGACAAATCCAGCGGATCAGGCCGCACAGTCCCAGTCCCGTGTCACTGAATTTGTTGAGACGGATTCCAGCTTATACCGGAGACTCAGCCAGAACGTGCCGAACAGGACCAGGGAGTACGAAGCTCGTGCACGTGTCGCTGTGAGAGAAGTCGACGCGAGACTTCAGCAAGGCGCAAAATGATGCATTCCATCACGTGGTTTCTAGAAGCAAGCGATATACCTTTCGCTGTACTCGATGTTGAAGCGACAAATTCTTTTGTCAATATCGTCGTCAGAAGCAGGTGGAAAGTTCTCCATTGATGACGTGGAAGTTGGAGCGCCACATGGCGGAGGCCGGGACCTGCTTTGACGGGTGGGAAGGCACGTGGGGGGAGGATATCCTGACGCCTTACAGCAGGTCGCCTGAGAAACGGCTGGAGTTCTTTCTCAGTACACCTCAGTTAAGAACAAGGTACAAGGTACCCATGCGACCGGTTCATGGTCGTAGGAGAGGTGGCTCTTCTCTATTGAGATTGAAATTGGCAGGCACTGGTGCTTCCATGGAAGGTCGGAGATATTCTCGAGGCAGGAACCGCCCATGTGGGGATGTGCTGAACAGAAGGAGCAATGACCATGCTCGAGTAACAAGTGCAAGATCTGGCGTCAGGTGCGACTTTAGTGCTGGAAAGTTTTGGGCAGGACATTTTTGCGTTTTCGTAATTGCTTCATAGTAAGGTATCCCAAGTTGATTTTTCACAAAAGCACTGAAGCTTCGAACCTAAGGGTGAGGTATCGCGGGTACCGTACCTCGAGCACTGCATCCCGGCACCATGGACCCACTCGTCGCATCCAGGCCTCGTCCCGGGCCGACGTGGGGTCATTCTGCCCCATGCGGTTACCCATGTTCCGGGCCGAGCGCCTGAACGGAAGGCTTCCATGGGCTCGCAAGACATGAAGTTCGTTTAATCTGAGGCACATCGATATCATGTTCAGTCTGATAGGGATCTCTACAAGACCCAGAGCTCACGCGTCCACTGACCGCCGGGAAAATTAGTTCGCAGTGGGACAGGGCTTCCCGCCTTACTTTTACCCTCATCCCTGACTGACAATCACTCTACCTTAGGGGCTAGCATAACATAGCTGTCAACACAGGGGCTTCGGAAGTTCCGAAGTTGGATCGAAGGAAAAGGAAACAACAGCAACGTGAGCCACTTAATGGCCATGCCAAGTACCTTATCTCTATTCATCATGGTCTGACATTTGTCTCAGGGCCAGTGCCTTGGTTATGTACAACGTATTACCGCTTGGTTTTGTGCAAAGCTAAAGATCTTGACTACTAGCCTGCTTTAGTACAACCTTACCGTAGTTGACTTACCATCACATGCAGCGAATCTAAAATAGACAACGTCGCAAACGCTGTGAAGCAGATAGTGCATTACCTTAGTCTTCTGCACATGCCATCTGAACTGCAGTGCAGTAGCTTCTTGAGTCTGAGATGATGTATATTTTTCCCATGTTCCACAGCTATTTCCGTCAATTCAATTGAGTTTCACGGAGTCTTGGGCATAATTCCTTGTCACGACACGCGGCATAAGTCCATAAGGCTGAGGCTGGCCGGGCTTGTTTCTGGCTTCTGGTACCGGAATCCGCGGCTGCAACTGCTTTTATAAACAGAGACATGCGTCGTCGTTGTCTCAAGTCCGAGTCATGGAGAACATCACGGAATGAATCGACTTCACATCGTTATTGCAGTACTTCTCCTGCATACCTCGCTACCTGGGTACTTTTGACTCTGACACCAAAGCACCTGCTCCCAAAGCTTTCTTGTCGGGTTCTTCTGTTGAGACACGTACGATGCGCTGAATTGGCCTTGGCCGACTCTTGGCCAGCCTACCTCAGACATCGGTGAAAATGGCTGCTGGCCCCTGGGAACCGGTCAAGCTGAAAACGTGTCATAATTGCGACCGACGCTGACTCTCTAATTCCAGAAGCCTGCGAAACGAAGGACTCGTTAGTTGCCGATCAAGGGTAAGACTGTTTTGCGCAAGGATATTTCTACTAATTTGCCCGGAGAGACTGCACTGATTTACCTATTTTGGCCCAGTGTTGAGGCTCGGAGCGGGGCTCGAGACCAATACTTTCAGCGACCAACGCTTCTATATGAAGATCTTTGAGTCCGTAGGTCCCTGGAAGTCATTGTCGTTTTGATGGTTCTTGTCCGGCAGCCGAAGCAAACTTTCACGTTTCCTCTCAAGAGGCTGATATACCCACTGACCCGCGCGTGATGGTCTTCTCGACTTTCATGCTAGAACCCACATAGCTTTTGCGAGCGTCTACTCTCAAGTAATACTCGTTCAAGATCATCTTGTAATCGCTCTTGTAATCTTAGAGAAGAAACTTTCAGTCTGTCAGGAAAATCCCACCATCTATTATAGTAATGGAAATACTCAGTAGTCAAAGGTAAAACCTGCTCAAACGTTCTTATTTCTCTAAAAGGGCTATGCTTTACACTAAGGACCAGTGGTTTCAGCTGGGTCTCGAAGTAGCACCAGTACTGACGACCGTCTCAAATTCAGAACTCGCAAAAAAAGGGAATCTGACAAGAAGAAAGAAAATGGAAGCACTATCTAGGATAGAGTTCCTGTTCAATCAAAGAACTGGAGTTAATCCTACAGAAGACGTCACATTGGTGTGCGCGAGTATTTTTGAAAGTCCAGGGGCGCGACGAGAGAGAATCACTAAGGAGTCAGAAGAAATATCGGAGCATTTGAACGGAATTATCGATACTATTGTGGCTAAGGAAGGTAACTGCATCCTTACGCAAGCAGACCTGTTGGGGCTCGGGTACCAATTTTCAAAGCCTACCTAGGCTCGTTGTTACAGGCGGTAACGTAATTTCGTCAAAGTCTACTTGGGAATTATAGACACTTTCGGGAGAGTTGGTGGTTCATAGACTACCTTATAGGTAGAGCTTGTAGTGCGGAAGGTTTGCTCTTCATGGCTTATGCGCCGTGAACGTCTCACGGTTCAAATAAAGATAACAAAAAACCGACGATGTGCTATTACTTTGAGATCCCTGCTGCATGGTAGATATGAAACCATTCTTGAGAAGTGATCCTTCACAGTCGCAAGACTTTTTTGAAGTATTTAGTTTCTGCCCTCTTCTTCTTCTCCGTCCAAGGTGTCTTGAGTTATAGTGACTGTAATGAAATACGAACTTGAGAGACGCGGACGTCAAATTTGGCTCAGCGGAGACCCGTTTTAGTCCGGTGAGCTTTAAATTAGTTCATGGTATCCTTGGACGGGATCAGTGGGGCTTGTTGCCCGCTACCCCATCATGATCACCCTTCAAGCTCCACCGGGTGTTGCATCAAACCCAGGGTGTCTTCTAGAGCTTCTCATCTTCCGACCCCTACGAGGGAGGCATGCTGGTCTATCGATGAAAGACTATACGTAGTTTAGCTGGTGACTCACAGGCTCACGTGTGCTTACAACGCCGGGTCGCTGTACGCCTCGAAGTTGAGCTACCATTGTCTGAGCCCCGTGCGCAGAATCGGGCACTTTCGGAAGTCTAGCCCGATGCGACCAAATCATTCGCGATCTTCATGCCTAGGCCGCATCCTTCCGGAGCGACATAAGCACTATGACATTTGACGAAATACATATAACTATCAACCCCATGCGTAGTGCTCACATTTGGAGAACCCTTTGAGGCGTTAGCGCTGTACTGCATCCACCATAATGTCAATATCATACATCAAATCACTGTTGTTTAGGAATAGCAACACAGGTGCTAACGCAGAGGTATCATCACCTCGACCTTCGAGTCCGAGGTTGGTTCCAGAGCCTGACATTTCTGATACCCTCACGCTGCCAGACGGCCGGAAACTAGGCTATGCACAATTCGGGCTCTCGACCGGGAAGCCCATATTCTACTGTCATGGCCTCCCAGGCTCCCGCATAGAAGCTGGTCACCTTCATGAGGCAGCTTTAGATATGGGTGCTCGAGTCATTGCGACGGACCGCCCAGGAATGGGGTTGAGCACCCCTCAACCCGGACGAACGCTTCTCGATCACCCCAAAGACTTGGAACATCTTGCGACGCATCTCAAGCTGAAGGAATATGGAGTTCTGGTATTTTGGAAACCTTCGCCTTCTGTGACGCGACTGCTAATGTTTAAGAGGGCGTCTCAGGAGGCGGTCCCTATGCATTGGCTTGTGCGACCTCAATGCCCCGCGACAAGCTCAAATGCGTATCCATCGTCTGCGGCATTGGGCCGCCTGACATTGGCATGGGTGGAGCCGGGTGGCTTCACTGGATCGGTTTCAACTATGGATGGCGCTACGCCCCGCGAATTGCCGGATGGTTCTTCCACCAACAAGGACGCTTCCATATATCAGACGAAGAACGGCTCGAACTGCAGCTCCAAGATGCGGAGAAGAAGAAAGCAACGTTCCCGAAGCAAGAAGCCGGGATCTGGTCAGACAGAGCGATTGTGGGGCGAATGGTCATGGCAAGTCGACAATATTACGCTCAAGGGATCGATGGTGTAAGCATTGATGGTCACCTGGTCGGCACAGAGTTCGGATTCCGTATCGAGGATATTCGGCCTGATCTGCCTGTGCGGCTTTGGTATGGTAAAGATGACACGTTCGTCCCTATGAATCACGGAATACAAATTGCCAAGCGATTGGGAAGTAGAGTCAATCTTAGACTCGAAGACGACACGCATGCTAGTATCTTCTTCAATTGGAGGGGGGAAGTGTTGGCGGATTTGGTCAAGAACATTTGAAGTCTCTTCTGACTTTGCACGTCGTATCACTCAGCTTAACTCCGTTGAAAATATTCTCCACTTGAATCTCAATAATTATCATTTGCTCTTAGCAGAGTTCCATTGAGATCCAAAAAGCTTCTCTTACGTCGCTCGATTGTTTCAAGTGCTCATCATCGATGTAAAAGTCAGCCTTGGCTCAAAGCATTCTAGATATCAAGTAATTACTGCGAATGACCTCCCAGATCAATTAATCTTGTTTCTTTATATTACAGCGGGTGTAAAGTTGAAGGTGTTATCAGGGTGATCTGCTCATCTAAGCACGCACCACACGATGGCTGAATATTTCGGGTTACCAGAAGGGCCACGACAGTGCCAACACCAATTCCAGGCCACACAGGTAAATATTCTATGTACCATCTGAGGGGGAAAGAACCAATGTGGTACATGTGTATGTCCAGAAGTGAAAAGTCCCTGGTAATCCCACCCGACCGAATTCGACGTTTCAATTTGTATGTGAGAACAGAGGGTTGAACTAGCCTGAGGCGATTTTCAACTAGGGAATTTTTCATCTCCGTCCCCAATTGTTTGGAAGACTGACTCTAAGTAAGGGGGGATTAATAGCAGTTCTCTGATGAAATTATGCCAAGTAAGGTGAGTGAAGTTGGCTGTGTGGCACGGTGGGCAGAGTAGTATGCGGATGCGGGTGTGGCATGCATGGGTGAGGGCGGGCATGGTTGCTAAAAGACAGTCCGGCTGATCATGGGAAGTGATTAGGCTTGGGAAGGCCGTGAAGAGGGTCTCTGTCAGCTTTCAACGACAGGTAGAGGTACCTTTCGCTGATGAGCTTCTGATGCGGTGTGGTGTTAGTACGTCTGGGTTATGCCTGTTTCTGGTAGCCCTGGCCAAAACATAGCAGTGGCTTACGAGTAACGAAATGGTGCTGCTGGATAGAGCGACTAGGGGCTGCATTGCAGGCAGGTATGCAGGCAGGCAAGCACTAAAAGTTGTTAGTAGCATGGGATTTTCTGAATTACTAGGTATGTCAGTAAGGACAGGGAAGTTTTTAGCGAAAGGTATGCACGTCATCCAACCCACTTCAGATCATTCTGGTCATTCTCCTCTTTTCATCGCTGCCGAAAAACCCTAGATACTCAAGCCCAGAGTCCCTCGGTCGCGGTCGGTACCCCCACTCGATTATCTCGTTTCCAAGTTCGCGAAAACGAGATGTAGTAATTCAGATGGGCGCCCGTTTCGCCACGACGGCCCCAATGTGAGCCTCAAATCCAGCCAAGAATTTACTCAGGCGTTCTACCAAAGTCCCTTGCCAAGACAAATACATACCATCTTAATGTATGTTACTGAAGCGCCGCTTTTCAACTCGCATTCTCCTCTAGAATTGTTCTCTTTCTAAGTTTGCATTCCTTTATCTCTTCTTTGAAAAATTAAAAAGCTCGCTTATAGTCTAGACCGATCTTTCACATAGTCTACCAGTACTCATCAATGCGGCTTTCGTCTTAATTTCAGATTATAGGTCTTTGTTGGTATCACAGGCGTGATACATTTCCTCATGAGGGTGTATCTTCGGCAACAATCACGTCGATGTCCGTGATAATTGCTGTCGTTGTTCTTGTTACTTCCTATTACATTGTGGGCAGGGGTCGGTCGAAGTAGGTGGTGACGGCCTGGGTGGTTGCACCACCTTAACCGGCCGTGGTGACTAAGCCAGTTGTCCCACTTCGCCCAGGGCAGGCACCAGCCAGCCCACGATACCTGCCCATTGCTCCTTATCAGCCTTGCCGTTCCGACACTTGGATCTTCTAAAAGACTAAAAAGAAAGTAGCAGAAAAGAGTAAAACAAATTCTTATAAGTCATTTAAGGAAATATTTTCGATGAAACCGTTCGATGAAGCCGGTCCAAGGTATGTAATGAGGCATGCAGACCCGAGGGGTCGACTCAAAAGCTCATAACGTGACTTGTCCCTGGTATGTGGTCTCAATACTTTCTGAAGTACCAAGGCTAATGCCGCACTGAAGAACAGTGCGGGTCACAGAGAGAAAACACGGAAGGCCCTGTGCATCAACCACGTCAAGTTGCCATGATGAGCGCTCACGCTGCTGGAAATATCCCAAGCTATAGCATCGGAACCTCTGAAGACCCCAGTGGACACAGACTTCGAGTCAAGAAAGATGTCTCAAATACCATGCAACAATTACAGATCTGGTCGGATTATGGCCAGGGCACCAGTTCAAAACAGGTTCCTCGGGGGGGAAAGGACTTGAATGGAGTTGGCGCGCACTTCCCTGGCGCTGGGTCTATCGCAAACTTTATGAATATCAGAGAGCTTACCTACTCTTGATGATAAGCAAATCGGAATGCAAAGCGATTGTCTCAAATTCTGGTGCTCAAAGCTGTTTTCTTTGCAAAGGCCGAGGTTGTATTCACAATTGTTTTCCAATTGGACGCCTTCCTCCCATTTTCATCTAGCCCTTTTGGAAAAAGCGTTGCAGCTTTTGTTCCTGACTGATTTCACTCACAGTGAAACACCTTAAAAAACGCTGATCAACGACACCAAGTTGCCTTTTCTTGATCACAAGTACGGATCTTGATTAGTCCTTCGCAGTCCAAGCATAGAGAGCCTCGCCATATATTTCTCAATGTTTGCGTGAACTTCTGAGTCTCTATTTCAGACAAGATACCATAAATGCTAGATGAAGTCCTATTGTTGGATCTTGACGGAAACTATATGTACCCACAACTACCTAAATGCAGTAGAGGGATCTCTCTTTTGTATATGGCGCAACGGTACAATTCCGAATTCTGTCAGATCTCTGAGCAGTCGGCAGAAAAGATGGATCCGGAAGGCGGTATGGGCACTTACAAACGGCCCTTTCACTTATATACCACTTCTGGGAGATCGTGGGCTCTGCCCACAATCTCCTCCTTCCACCTCTAGACGCAGCAATAATAGACCATTATTGACACTTCGTTCCAACCGTACGGTTGCCCTGCTGACGTGTATACCAACACCTATCTTACTCAACACGAAGTTCCTACTGGGCTTAGGAAAATGGCTCACAGATATTCACGATTCGCGAAATCGCCGTTTCGACTTGGTCTCGTTACTTGCCATCTCATGCCTATCCGTCTGTTCGCTGAAATCCTTACGCCTTCGAATCTTTGGCCCTGACTGGAAGATAATAAGACTAGTATCAGCAAGTTGGCCCCAGTCGAAACATCCCGTTCACCCTAAGACTAGCTCCTCACAGCTAAAAGTAGCGCATCGGAGCAAGTGTATTGAATGTGAAGCGGATTTCGATGCACCTCATTCTACTTTCAGTCTAGTTCATTTCTTAGAGACATCAAATACCTACTCCTGCTAGTCGATGGCATACCCGCCAGCTGCATTATCCTGAATTCCTTAGGCGTCTCATTTCAGCTTGCCCACGAAATGTCACGAGTCTCAAATAAGGAGAAACGAGCTTCGAGCCCTCCTATCTGCAGAGTTCGCTTAGAGAAACCACACTCTTAGGATAGCGAACGAATTTCCCTCACTCCAAAGGCTTGAAAAATCAGCACTGAAGTCAGCTTCATGAACTAGTTCAAGTTTGATCCATTTCTGCAAGTCGTATGAATGCTTCCTTCCAGTGTCACAACAAGTCTTCTTCATTGTGCTTTGGGCCGCCTTGAGCATGCGACCTCACGGAAACGTAGGCAAGTAGGGGGTATTATTATATTATATCCGTTACAAGTATAAATTGACCTTACCATAGCGCGAGAGAAAGTCTCGCCCGATGGCCATTTTGACTTATACAGTACAATATCCACGGGTCTCAACTTGTTATCAAGTGAAATATCTCACCTCAGATTAACACGGGACGTCTCTATTGCGCCAATAACCAGATCGTTTAGATTGGGAGTGGTCATATCTTGGTGATTGACTTTGTTGGAATATTGACGGCAGAAAAGGGTGGATTTGGAAGGTGGTCTGGGCCGTGCAAATGGCCCTTCCACCTATTTTCACCCAATGGAGGAATCGTGGGCTACGCCCACCAACTTCCTCCGGACATATACATACGTAGTTCAATGCCAAGATTATTAAGCTGCGTACTGGCCCTCAGGCTGCCCTGCTGACGGGTATACCAACAGACTTCTTAGACTTTAGTTCTGGTGGTGACGAGAGCCGCTGGGAAGGTGTTTTTTTGCAGCCGGCATTATTGCTTGCTCCAGATTGACTCGATGCATTCGATTCGTGAGCTCTTTCCGTGTTTCGAGTTTCTCGTCTCTGGCCTGTAGGTGGCATGATAAACGTTTGCCAAAACATTAGCGGTCATCCATCAAGCATAAAGCTCCTCTGGGTGGGGCAAACAGTGGATTTGGGGCGGCGTCAAGCCGGTCGATCTCAGTGTTCCAGAAAATAGAGCGAGTTCATTGGGTATTAATGCCTATCCGTACTCTTGGGCCATCCGGAGCCTTATCTAGCGTTAGTAGAAGTCATCCTTGTCTCGGTAAAAGCTGCTCACTCAGTGTCTCATGAGGCACACCAGTCAAAGTTTCTGCGCACATTCTTGGGTGACGCCCGGTAGAAAATTGACTCCAAAAAAGGTCTAAGGGGAAGGAGGTTTATTCAATCTCCGTCGCTCTTGATTTCTGGATGTACACGACCAGGTCTACTGAATGTCAGTACCTTCGGAGAGGGAAAGAACAGCTCAGGCTGCCCGGGATTCATATTTACTCAATGTTGATCAAGGAGCTCAAATGAAGATAGGTATTACTCGAGGGACGCAAATAGAAACACCTTGGTTGGGGAATCGACCGTATTTCAACGTGAGACACCTCGACCAGATTCCAGCATACCTTGTCCACATCTCATTCACTACCTCTTACAGTAGTACAGACAGTGCTGGGTACCTTACATAACATAACCTCGGAAATTATTATCGGCAAGACACATTTAGGACACACCGAGTATGTAATTTGAAGGTGCCCCTGACGCTCACGGAGCGGGGCGACGGTACGGCAGTCTGTGTTATCAGGACACGAACGGCGCGCTTCAGTGTCACGGAATCTGGTTCCGTTGAATCCCATAGCTGCACTTTTGCGTGCCTGCGTAAGTTTCAGGTTGCTTGCAGTGTGTCTACTCATTTAGGCATACCTACGCAGGTGGGGCAGCCTCAATCAAGAACGGCCCCCGAATCCTTTGATTAAAGGACCAGGCGACGCCATATCTCCGGATCAACT